GCAGAAAGCTTATTGTTAGGATGTTATGTTCCCATGGGTGATAGCCTATGTTCCCATGGGCGATAGCCAAGCAGTAATTTTCCAGCCAGCACATAACTTGTGATGTCTCCCGATGACTCACTGAACAAAAGGATGGGTCCCCTGGAATGGGTCAGCAAGGGTGTCATCTGTGGCTAGGTCCCAGGCCCTGCGGGTGGGCAACATGGACACCAGCCCTCACCCCGAAGTCCTGTTCCTGTGTTAGCTCTGAGTCACAGCAATGTGGGAGGCAGGCGGGCAGGCAGATGGGTGCCATGTGCCTGCTCTACAGAGGGTGAGCTGACGCCCAGAGAGGCCGAGGCCCCCACAGCATGGAATGGAAGGTGGGCGTGGCGAAGGGCCTGGCAGGTGGACTCTGGCCCCAGCCCCTGGCTCCTCTGGGTCTGACCCTGATTCCAGCTGCCCAAGAAGCATCTCGGAGAGACGAGGGACCTGCTGCTTCTCTCAGCAGTCCCCAGAGTGAAGAGGGCTTGGGAAGGGGCGTAGCTCTGCCTTGAGTCCCTGGAGCCTAGGATGCCTGGGGTGATAGAGCCACTGGGGGTCACAGTTGTTTGTGCCTCCCGGGCTAGGTCACTGCAGTCTTCCATTAGTCTGACACCCAGGGGCCCGGGCCCTGCCACCCTGGGGGAACAGGGGACACGAACGTGCTTCTGAGAATGTAGCCCTGGCAGACGCTCTGTGCACTCAGGGGCTTTGGGACCCGTGAGGGAAGCTGAGCAGGTGGGGCCCCCGCCCTCTTCCTGTCAACTGGAGCTTCTCTACAGGGGGAAAGTGACTGAAAACTGTTTGAGGCCCCTCCCCCTACCCCATCCACGGGTGTGGGGTCACGAACCCCAGGGACTGCTCTGCACCCAGCCCTCATTGTCCCTCATTGGGCCTCCTTAGAGAAGACACCCTGGGAGGGCAAGAAGAGCATCGGCCTGAGTCAGACAGACCCAGCAGGAAACCCAAAGTAATGGCGGCTTAGTCAAGATGGAAGCTTAGTTCTCTCTTATACTCGGGGTGTTTGGAGGTGGCCAGGGCTTGTACAGCAAGCGATGTCACAGTATCAGGAATCTGGCTCCTTCTACACTGTGGCTCTCCCACGCAGTTTTTATTTCCAAGGTCACCTTATAGTCCACGATGGCGGCCGAAGCTCCTGCCATGACGTCTGCATCACTGGCAGTAGGAAGAAGAAAGGGGAGTAGGGCGGGCGAGCCCTTTAAGGACCCTTCCTGATGTCAAAGTCTGTTTCCATCCAGGTAAAACTTAGTCACGTGGCCACACCTAAGTGTAAGGGAGGCTGGGAAGTGTCTTAGCTCCAGGCGGCGATGCCCTGGTAAACTATCAGAGGTCCCATTCCCTCGGACTGCTGGAGGGGTTGGGGCGGGTGCAGGAGCCTGGAAGCCAGTGAGGTGAGCGATCTCTGTCCCAACCACTGCCAAGCTGTGTGCCCCTCGGCAAGCCCGCTCCCCTCTCTGAGCTCCTGCTGGTCTCCGCGAAATGCGGGTGTAGAAAGACCGTCTCCACGGCCCCTCCCTGCCCTGACACTTCGTGACCGTGACCATGACCGTGCAGCAGGGAGCCCAGGGAGGCCGAAACTCCGGATACAAACTGTTCTTGTTGAAAAGTTGCCTGTGCCAAGGTTTACAGATTCTTAAGAGTGTAAAACTTGATTATTTGATTTTCAACTTGTAAACTGATTCACAGCCTGGAAGACCATGGGGCGGGGGAGCGCACAGCGGGGATGTGCCTGGGATCTAACCAAGAGCAACTGTCCTGCAGACAGAGCGGGCGATGGGGGCTGCCCAGGTCCTCCTGAGACAGGAGGGACCTGAGGGGACGGACACGATGCCAAGCGTCTCTATCAGAGTCACAGAGGTGGCAGGGAGAGGGGACTGAAACCGGAAATGGATGCGGGGGGTGTGGGGGGGATGCGGGGGCCTGGTGCAGAGGGACAGTGGGCAAGGAGGGAGTCGCCGGGAGCTGAGGGGGGCCTAGGCAGGCGGGAGGGGGGACCCATGG